AAGAAAAAAATAGAATGGTGGGAGTGAAGGAAAATAGTGAAAAAAAAATATTATTGTGTGGGAAAAGTAAGATTCAAGAGGCTTTGATGAGTGAGCAAGCTCTTATTGTAATTCCCAAGAATATTTATTTTTCTACTAATACTTTTGACCCCACTTTGCCTTCTAGTGTTGTCTCTTTGTTGCAGGATTATAGAGATCTATTCCCTATGAAATTCCTGATGGACTTCCTCCCTTAAGAGGAATTGAGTATATGGATAGATTTCTTGCCTGGAGCTGCTATTCCAAACAAGCCTGCTTATAGGGCTAACCCTGAAGAGACTAAGGAGATCAAGCGCCAAGTAGAGGAATTGATGATGAAAGGCTTTGTGCGTGAGAGCCTTAGCCCTTGTGCTGTCCCTGTTATCTTGGTGCCAAAAAAAGACGGATCTTGGAGGATGTGTGTTGATTGTAAAGCAATCAACAAAATCACTGTAAAGTATCGTTACCCTATCCCTAGACTTGATGATATGCTTGATGAATTACATGGTGCTTCTATCTTTTCTAAAATTGATCTTAGAAGTGGTTATCATCAAATTCGTATGAAAGAGGGTGATGAATGGAAAACTGTCTTTAAAACTAAATTTGGATTATACGAATGGTTAGTTATGCCTTTTGGTTTGACTAATGCTCCTAGCACTTTTATGGCATTAATGAATCATGTTTTTAGAAAGTTTATAGGCAAGTTTGTTGTGGTTTACTTTGATGATATTTTGATTTATAGTAAATCTTTGACTGATCATATGAATCATCTTAAAAATGTGTTTGACATCTTGAGGGAATATAAATTATATGCTAATTTTCAAAAGTGTATCTTTTGCATGGACTCTGTTATCTTTTTGGGATTTGTTGTTGGATCACAGGGAATTCGTGTAGATGAGGAGAAAGTTAAGGCTATTCGTGAATGGCCAACCCCTAAGAATGCAAGTGAAGTGAGAAGCTTCCATGGCTTAGCAAGCTTCTATAGGAGATTTGTTAGGGATTTCTCTAGCATTGCTGCCCCTCTTAATGAACTTATTAAGAAGAATGCGACCTTTAAATGGGATAAAACACAAGAAAGGGCCTTCCAAACCCTAAAGGATAAATTGACTAATGCCCCTTTACTTGTTTTGCCTAATTTCTCTAAAGCATTTGAAGTTCAATGTGATGCTTCTGGTATTGGTATAGGTGCTGTTTTAATGCAGGATTCTAAGCCCATAGCTTACTTCAGTGAAAAGCTTCACGGCACAGCTTTGAATTATTCCACCTATGACAAAGAGCTTTATGCTCTAAAGAGGGCCTTAGAAACATGACAACATTATTTGTGGCCCAAGGAATTCATCATTCATTCTGATCATGAAAGTTTAAAGTTTCTCAAGTCTCAAGGTAAGTTAAACAAGAGACATGCTCGCTGGATGGAATTTATTGAAACCTTTCCTTATGTGATTAAGCATAAGCAAGGTAAAGAAAATATCGTTGCTGATGCCTTATCTCGAAGGTATACATTACTTTTCTATTTGCATGCTCAATTACTTGGTTTTGAGATTTTAAAAGATCTTTATAAAACTGATCCTGATTTTGAAAATATTTGGAAATCTTGTGAAAATCATGGATCTGGTGATTTCTTTAAATTTGATGGATTTCTTTTTAAGAAAAATAAATTATGCATTCCTATTTGTTCTATGCGTGAGTTGCTTACTAAGGAAGCACATAGTGGTGGTTTGATGGGACACTTTGGTGTAGATAAAACTTTGGCTATTTTGTCTGATCATTTCTTTTAGCCTCACATGCGGAAAGATGTCATATCTGTTTGTGATAAATGCATTAAATGTAGACAGGCAAAATCTAAGATCCAACCTCATGGACTTTACTCTCCTTTACCCGTCCCCTCTCACCCTTGGGAACATATCTCTATGGATTTTGTAATTGGATGATTGCCTAAATCTTCTGCAGGCAAAGATTCCATATTTGTTGTTGTTGATAGGTTCTCTAAGATGGCACACTTTATTGCTTGTGCTAAGACTAATGATGTTGTTAACATTGCTGACTTATTCTTTAAAGAGATTGTTCATTTGCATGGTTTACCTAAGACTATTGTGAGTGACAGAGATGTAAAGTTTCTTAGTCATTTCTGGCGTATCCTATGGCATAAATTAGGGACTAAGTTACTTTTTTCCACTAGTGTCCATCCATAAACTGATGGTCAAACTGAGGTAGTTAACAGAACTATGACTACATTATTAAGAGCAATAATTCAGAAGAATTTGAAGAATTGGGTGAATTGTTTACCTCATATTGAATTTGCTTACAACAGGGCTGTTCATTCTTCTACTTCTTATTCTCCATTTGAAATTGTTTATGGTTTCAATCCATTATCTCCTATTGATATTTTACCTTTGCCTTTCTCTGAGCATGCTAACACTGATGGCAAGGAAAAAGCTAAGTTTGTGCAGGACTTACATGCTAAGGTTAAAGCAAATATAGAGCGAAAGAATGAGCAATATGCCAAGCAAGCTAATAAAGGCAGGAGACGTGTGATTTTTGAGCCTGGAGATTGGGTTTGGTTACATTTAAGGAAAGAGAGATTTCCTAATCAAAGGAAGTCCAAACTTCAAGCTCGAGGAGATGGACCTTTTCAAGTTTTGGAAAGAATTAATGATAATGCTTACAAGATTGATTTGCCTAGCTCTTATGGCAATGTTAGTGCCACATTTAATGTTTCTGATTTATCTTTATATGATTCTGCAGATTTGAGGACGAATCCTTTCCAACTGGGAGGGAATGATGGACCCCATGGCACGGGTGACATAGCATTAATGGCAACGAAGCCTGAGGATGGTAATCATGAGCATGGTGACATAGAAGGAGCCCAATACTTTCAATCCAACGTACCTAAAGACCCATTGCAACATATTGGACGTCCAATGACAAGAGCCCGAACCAAAGCCATGAAGCAAGCCTTGTTCAGTCTTGTGCAAGAAGTTCAAGAGCTTGGAGAGCATTGGGGCACTCCCCTCAAGTCCAAAGGAGAGCATCTATACGTGTATAATGTATTTAAGATCCAAACTCATGAAGAGTCAAGCCCAAGAGATGCAGACCTTAGCTCAATGCAAGGAAGACTACAAGTTGAGCCTCTTGCATGCAAGGAGGCATGAAACCCTAGTAAAGAAGTCAAGGGTGGCGTGATTTCAAATCCTTTATGATCCCTTGATTGTCTCCTAAATTATTTCCTATTTTAATGGTCCTTTGATTTGATTTTTTATTTTGAGTCTAGTCAAAGGTTAGAATTAATTATAATATTAAAATTTTGTAATCCCATAATTTTAGGATCACGTCTCCTAAATTATGTGGCTGAATATTTCATCATTATTTCTCCTTTTAATATTAGGAAATTAGGGTTTTAATTTTAGGAAATATTTTTCTATGAGCCTATATAAATTAGGCATGCTCCCTATTGTAAACGACACAGAAGTTGAATGAAATTATTCATTTTAGAGTTTATAACTCTTGTGAGCCTTAGTGCTTTGTGGTGGTATCTCGTGTGAGAAACCGACGTGATCAAGAGCGTGATCAACTCTTGTGGTGTCTTCGAAGGTTGAGGTTCCTAGAGGTAGGTGCTCTAGAGGATCTTCTCCTTGATCATTATCCTATTGTTTACTTCATACCTTTTTTTTATTTCCGTCATAAATTTCGTCCCTTTCTTTTTGTTCTTGTGTTTTTGTTGTTTCAGGGTTCTGTTCCTAAACTAGCACGATTTTGCTTCCGCGTCCCTATCACTGTTCCAATAGTCTGTCAACTACTAAAACTACATATATGATACAATTCTAGTCTAGAATAAGAATTTTTGATACTTGAGTGAACTATTCTTCTTTTGAGCATTCTAAAAAGTTTTCAATTGTGCATTAAAATATTACATTCATTATTTATCATTCTTGATATAGTTTGAAAAAAAGCTCTCACAACCTTTCAAGCTTTCAATTGTAATCAATCTACTCTTTTAAGAGAGTTCTTCTTTGTGAGTTTTATACTTTAGTTGAAATCTTAAAAAAATGTATTTTTTTCAAGTGTTTTGTAACAACTTGCTAGTTGTAGTAAGGTTTGTTATTGAATCAAGATAAGTTAAGTCTTGAGAGTTGTATCATGGTAGCAAATACTCATTAAAGCTTGTAATTTTAGTTGAAAATCTCAAGGGTAATCTTAAAGACTAGATATAGGCCAAGTTTTGAGTTGAATCAGGATAAATTTCTTATGCCTAATCTCTTCTTTCCTTGCTTCAATCTTCCTCTCCTTCAAGTTTTTCAGAAAAAATTAGTATCATTCAATTCACCCCCTCTTGTGTGCCAGCCTATCCAACAATATATAAGCTCATAAAGAAGATTATTTCTTAAAATTAAAACCTTAATTTCCTAATACTAAAAGGGAAATGAAAATAATATAAAATAAAGGAAAAAATATTCAGCCACATAATTTAAGAAATGTGATCCTAAAATTACGAGATTACAAAATTTAAAAAATAATATAATTAATCCTAATATTTAACTAGACTAGAAATAGGAAATAAAAGACTAAATAAAATATTAAACTAATATCTTGATCTTAAAAAAAAAGTAATCAAATCATATCCTCTTCAATTTTAATATATATTTTAATGATACAAATTTACTCTGAACTGTTTTGAATTTAAGTTAAAAATTTTAAATTTAAACAGTATAAATTAAATCTGTATGATCAATTTATAAAAAAAATAAGAAATTAATATTAAATTTGAATTCATGTGATTAAATATGAATAGTATATATTAATAATAAAATACATTTATTTAGGATTTGATAAATTTTTATTTTAAAAAATAAAAAAATAAAAGATATAATTAAATTTCAACCGTTCAGATTAATGATTCAAGGGTGATAAGTGATCAGCAACGAAAGCGCTTCGTTTATACTTGCGCGTACATCTCTCTCTCTCTCTCTCTCTCTGCTTTTTTTTATTTTTTTGGGTCTAGTTCAATCTCTGCTCTTTCTTGGTTTTGGCCAAAATTCAATCTCTGCTCTTAAAACTTCCAAAAAGCTACCCTTATCTTTTGCTTTTCTGAAAACCCTAATTCTTGTCGTTGCCCCAATTCTCAATAACGATGCTTCTATCCCCCGGTCACTCGCCTCGCCATGTTTCTTCGCCCTCTCCTTCTCTTTCCCAAGTTTCTGTGCAAAATCCCAATGATTCATCCTCTGAAATCACTCCCAAAATCCCTCGCAAGAACCAAGCCGTCCTCGATGAAGACACTTACGTTGCCGCCATCGAGAAGATCATCGAGCGCGACTTCTTCCCTGATATCTCCAAGCTTAGAGATCGCCTTGACTGGCTGGAAGCAATCAAGACCGGCGATCCGATTCAAATTCGTGATGCCCAGTTGAAGATCATGGAACGCCGTGGACGGAAGGTAACTAATTCTAACGCTGATGGTAGAACGCAAACACCTGGTTCCACTTTTGCTAGAAATTTTACTCCTTTTGATGAATTTGATGGCAAAACCCCGAGAACACCTGGTTTTCCGAATGGGGAAGCATCTGGCGGTGGGGAGCCTAGTGAGGAAGGAGGTGCGGTGGATACGTCACTTAGCCTGGATCAATTTCTTAGCAGGTATACGAGTGAGGACAATTATAGTTTTTCTAATATTTTGGAGAAAGTAAATAGGAAGAGGAAGGAGAGATTTGGGTACCTGAGAGAAGGGGAGAAGGAACATGTTGCAGCTATTGAGGATGCAAAGAGGGATAGGATAACAGATGGATATGGAACGTCTGATCAGCCCCCAAGTACCTTGGAGGGGTGGAAGTATGCTGCAAAAAATCTGTTGATGTATCATCCAACTGATCGTGGGGAAGCCCCTCTGACTGAAGAGGAAATGGCGGTAAGAATGAAAGGCTTGACGAAGGAGATTAATCGTTCAAATACGAGATTTCATGGTAAAATGATGGAATCTAGGCCCAATGATGATGGAACCGTTGAGGTGCTTTATACCCCTGTTGCTGGTGCAACTCCAGCTCCAACATCAGATAGAGAAATGGAGAAATTAAAGAAGTACGATTTGGATGATTTAAGGAAGACTCCAAATCCGTTCTATGTTGAATCTGGAAAAAAAGCTGATAATGGTTATAGCTTCGTAAGGACACCATCTCCGGCTCCAGGAGTTGATGAATCCCCATTTATTACTTGGGGTGAAATTGAAGGTACCCCATTGAGGTTGGATCCAGAGGATACACCAATTGATATTGGTGGCAGTGCCGATGGACCTCATTATAAGATTCCTTCTGCGCCTGCAAGGGATGAAAAGGCTCACTCACTTTCTAGGGAGGCTGCGCGTAAGCTGAGGGAAAGATCAAAGATGTATCATAAGCCTCCGTTGCCATCACCATATCGAGGTGGGAGTGCTAGTCCAAGTGGTCGGACTCTTTCTCCTGCTGCACAGAAGTTTGTAAGGAATGCTATTGCAAAATCCTCATCGACTGTTGACGAAACCCTTCGTGCTAGTTACCGTGGTTCTAGTCCTGCTTTGACTACTCCTAGAAGCGCTAGGAGCGTATCGAGGTTTGGTAGAGATGGAAGCATGGGTTCTAGGTCTCCATCGATTAGAGAGGGGTCAAATGCCCCTTGGTGATATGTTTCCATTCTCTTGATATGTATAATATTTCATATTTTGAAGTCTTGATAAGTTGACTGTCACAACTTTTTCCTTGGATAAATCTAGTAATGACACATCACCTATGTAAATTCAGAGAAAATATCAGACTGAAAATTTAAATGAATGTTGATCCCTTTTAATTTGTGAGTGTTTTCCTTCTTGATTACTGTAAGTTCTCCTATCCAGTAGTCTGCTATGCCGAAGATATTGCATTATGATAATGTGGTTGGGTTATGAATTGGAATGTTATGTTTTGACTTCGGCATTGATTTTGTTATTGCCACAAATTTTGTCGTTATGTCTTATATCAATTTAGGTTGTTCAGAGATGTTTGATGTTTATTCCAGAAAGGTGCTAAAAAAATTGAGATGAAACCCATCTGGATGCTGGCTTCGACTTGTTTCTCTCCACTGTGTCTTTATTTCTGTTCTGGGTTGCTCATATCAATTTTTTAATGGCATAGATTAATCTGTACTTCTAAGAACTGTAAAATCAAAATCATCAAATTCAATTCCAGGGCATATATTTCTTGTTAGGTTTCCTCTTTGAGGCACCTGCACCTTCATTTTGATTTTTGTTTCATCTGTTGGCTGTTTAAGGTGGCAAGTGCGTCAATCAATTATGGTATGAGCATCTGCAGTCTTACCCTTGTTAGCAGAATTTCAAAACGAGATATCAGAGGATCAGGGGTCTTTTCCTTTCTTTTCCTCCCTTTCCCTCCACTTCCTCCATCTTCACCATTCAAATTTTTTTATTAAACAATTTTTTTAAATAAAAAAATTAATGAATGGTGGAGATTTAAATTTTTTTATTAAATAATTTTTTTAAATAAAAAAATTAATGAATGGTGGAGATGGGGGAAGTGGAGTAAAATGAAAGAAAAGGAAGTGGAGAAACTCTACTTTCGATATCAGAATGTGTGTAGAATGAACAAGTTTATCCTGGAACACTTGTTCCGTAGCGTGTAACTGTGTCCCCATTTTCCTAACTCTATCGCTCCATTATTATTCTCTCAACGTAAGCCCTTGCTATGTGATAAAGTTCCACACTAATTTTAATTTGAGTAGACATGAAGATCCATCTCAATAACTAATAACCAAGTGTTTATACTTGTTAAAAGATATAACATAACGAAATAAATTATTGAATCTGAGAAAAGCAACTTTTACTCGCTAATCTTTCTCTCAGTTATCAAATTAGAGTCAGGGGTTGGATTTATCGATAACCTAGTCTTTGTGGTTTATTAAATTAAAAAATTATAGATATTGAGTTATTTGAAGTCAATAAAAAATAATAAGAATTGGCTTATTATGAAGTCAATAAAAAATAATGAGTTATTTTAAGTTAAATATTAGTGATGGACCAATAATTGAATCTTTAAAGATCAAAAGTCATTAATTCTTTTATTAAATATAAATATTTTCAGTTCATATCAAGCAGACAAGCAACATCTTTGTATTTTTTTTTTCTGTTTTTTTGGAAAAAGAAAATCAATATATATACAAGAAAAAGATTAAGGCATAGTTATACAGTTTAAAAATTAAGGAGAAAAACTAAAAATAGAGAGAATTAATGTAGTCATCTTGTGATATAATAATATCATCGAATTAAAAATTAGATATGAGTGATGAGACGTCCATAACTACAGCATTACTCCAACACCTAATGATAGGGTCAGGAAAAAAGTCTTTTCAATATAGTTGACTCTCAATGATAACTTAGAGCCATTAATTAGGGTCGAAGCCTGAATTTATAGGGCCAGTCTTTTAAGTTTGAAAAAATTGAAGATCGGGTCATTACTTTGATATTTAAAAAGGTAAATCGAGCTTAAAAGTTCGCCCCAAAAATAAAAGGGTTGGCCATTTTAAGTCTTATTATATTTTAAAAAAATAAATAAAAAGAAGACACCACATACTCAAACTCACCACTCAATTGTCCTTTTAAGATCCAAAGATAAAAAGGCCGGCCCTTTTAAGCCCTAATATATTTTAAAAAAATAAACAAAAAGAAGACACCACATTATTCAAACTCACCACTCACTCTGTAACCCAGACAGTAGACAAACATATTATTATTTGCTTACTTTAAATATTTTTGCATTCTTTAAATGCCTTAAAATTATGATTTTGGTTTATTATTTATTGCAAATAATGAGAATGAAGAAGGAAGATATGAAAGGCTTAACATATTTGCCATAGATGAGGATCCATAAGGAGAATGATCAAATCATATTGATGTTGATGATGATAAAAATCATCAAAATTTAGCTGATGATGCTACTAACATGTAATTGATGTTAAAGTTGATTTTAGGATGTTATTTTTTTATTAGACTTAAAATTTTTGGTGTGAATGGATTTTATTTTATTTTTTTAGACTTAATGTGATGTGTAATAACTTTGTTAGAATTTTAAATATATTTTTATTTTTAAATTAAAAAATTAAAAAAAATAATTAGGGCTGAGGCCCTGATGGCTCGCCTTTCAACCTTAAAGGCTAGGGCCGGGTTGCTAAAAATAAAGCCTTAAAATATAATCAGATTTAAAGGGATTAACTCGTTTAGATCTTGGCCTTTTAAAATTGGACTGACTCTAATTAATACCTCTAAATGGTGTAACTGTGAGCTTAAAATTCCTTAGGGCATTGTGAACCCACCAAAGCGGCCATATGAAGCAAAGGATAATGCTTCTAAAAAGCAAAGTCATCTCGGCAATGAGAGTGCCACTGTATGATGATCTAGCATTGGGTGTGTTGTCTTTTTTTTTTAAATTAATCATTTAATTTTTATAATTTTAACCTATTGTAATTCAATATCTAAATTTTAATTTATTATAATTTAATTTTTATAATTTTAACTTAATTATAATTCAATCTTTTAACTTTAACTCTTATAACTTAGTCCTTACAGTGTTAGCCATTTAAATATTGATTCTTATATTTTTTAAAAAAATAAAACTATAAAGATTAAAACTATTTTATAATTTTAATATCTATCATCTTTATAAAGTTTAAAAGAGTTTAATAATTTAAAATATTAGTCCTAAAGTGATTTTGCAAGACAAAGAATATTTTATCCAGCCAGACATACAAAGTAACATTTATGTTTGCCATATTGCCATTTAGCTTCAATTTGCATGTCAGAATAATGGATGGTTAATAATAATGGAGGCCAGTAAATTTGCCGTGATTTGTAGATTTTGCAGCAAATTGGCTCCTTGAGACTTGAGAGCATAGGATTGTTGGAGTTGTGTATTAATTTGGATCTTCTGGAACATACTACAGTGAATAGCACGAGTGATGGTTTAGCTGCAAATTCTTGGATGAAAGCATCATCATGAATAACTGTATATGACTCTTTTGATTCGCCATATCTTTGAAAGTGGATCACAAACATGATGGTGGTGAGCGAGGAAGGCATTATTGGGATATGAGCACGGGGTATGCCTGAAACTACTCTTGTGAAAGGACAGCTTCATGAAGCTGCTTTTTAGTCTTTAAGGAGAAGAAAATATTAGTTAAAATAGAAAGAAAGTCTTACTGCTTCCCCATTCTTCTCGTGAATGAATCAGTTTCAGATGCAATATTGGATCATTTACAGACATGGTATGCATTCTAAGAGAGAGTTACATTAGAATATTTACTCCGTGTCCTTATCGTGGCCTCCCCACACCCCCCCAAGTATTTTCAAAACTGACAATCATAAAATTAATCTCATTCGAGCCAAAAAAAAAAAAAAGACTAATCTTTTAAAAATTTTAAATGTCATTTAAAAAGTTGTCTTCTCTTAAGTGATATTTTTTATATAAATTTTTAAGAATTGAAGTTAGAAATGATACTTAAAGAACTCAAACAACTAACATATGCACAACACCTACTTGATATAACCAATTTTTTTTTTTTAACACTTGGAGCATTAGCAAAATTATTCTCATGGAATGCATCATGCAAAGTTTAAAATATAACTTGTGAATAGTACATAGTTTACCATAAGGGGGGAGAGGTGTTCCATAGATTTTTTGGCTCTATATGGATGGAGACAGTGCAGCAATCTTCAACGCCGTCGTTTCAAAGATGCGTCCAATTCTCGGGCACTATAAAAAGGGCACCCCTGTCACCACCCATATATTGCGCTTCTTTCGTTTTCAAGCTCACTTGGTATGAAGTTTCTTCCACGGACTTGCTCTCTTGTAGGCGAGAGAATCCTTAACTTCTTTCTTCACTGCTCTCATTCACTCTTGCTCTTTTTCCAGGGTTTCATTTGCTGAGCTTCCGGTTCGTCAGCTACGGTTCGCCTTTGACTGATTGTAAGCTTTTATTTTGCTCATTCAAACGTTTAATTGTACTTCTTTCAAGATTTTGATTGCTGATCGAAAGACCTACATTGTTCGTACGTTCAGCTTGTGAGGATTATGTTTGTTGTTTGGAATATCATTCTTGGTTCTTGGTTTGTTATTTATGGACCTGTCCAATCCAAATGATAGAAAGTTTCGTGCTGGTTTTGGATTTTGTTCCGATTGTTAATTTTCAATCCTTTACGTGCTGCTTTCACAACTTTCTTGTGCTTTTATTATGTTCTGTTGCATGAACCACGATCTTAACTCAGCCTGATGAGACAATTTCCTTCGGCTGTTCACGTCTCGGTTTACAATATATTTCCTCAAACATGAAGATCTTTAGCCAAAAGAATGCTGACAACCTGCAGTAATGACAACAAGAATGCTTCCGGGCTTTCAGGAACTAATGCATGAATGACCAAAAATATTTCAACCGTTCACAGTAGATAATATGGTTGAATATTTCATAGCAATAAACTTTAGTCTAGCACAATTATCATCAGACTATGACATTTTGGCCTTTTTTTTCAAAACAAAACTAAAAATGGTTTGGGAAAGTTTTTTTGGAGCTGATCATGATTAGCTTAACCCTTCAATTTTCTTCCGTACATGGGACTAGTTTTACTATTGCACATTCAGAATTAATCCAAAGAAAACCACTGTAGTTCGTGCCTACCTCTGTCATTAATTTTTGTCTAGTCAAGCATCTTAAGTTTGAGACAAAAAAATCCTCATTTAATTTCGTCATGATTTCAATTGAAAGCACTAACCAATATTTCTGTCCTACAGGATTGGTTACTGAAAATGCCAGCTGAAAACTCATACGCAAACACATCTGATCTTATAGAACCATTTGCTGAGGTTGACCCAACTGGTAGGTTTGGGCGGTACAATGATCTTCTTGGCAGTGGTGCTGTGAAAAAGGTTTATAGGGCCTTTGATCAAGTGGAAGGTATAGAGGTAGCCTGGAATCAGGTGCGACTGAGGAATTTTACTGAAGACCCTGTGCTTTTAAATCGTCTTCATTCTGAGGTTGAGCTTCTTAGAACATTGAAGAACAAATATATCATTGTCTGTTATAGTGTATGGAAAGATGAAGAGTGGAACACTTTAAATTTTATTACTGAGATATGCACTTCTGGGAATCTGAGGGCTTATAGGAAGAAACATCGTCATGTGTCCATCAGAGCATTGAAGAAGTGGTCGAAGCAAGTTCTTGAAGGATTGGAATATCTTCATACTCATGACCCCTGCATTATTCACAGAGATCTCAACTGTAGTAACATTTTCATTAATGGGAATATTGGCCAGGTAAGTACATGACTTTGAATCATGATTTAGGACTTGTCTACCTAATGTCATAATATTAATCAAAGAATTGGGGGGGGGGGGCGTTATAGCTACATTGTGACTATATTCGACGTGATCAATGAGCAAAGTAAATATACGAAAATGTGCTTCAATAGAAAAATGGAATATTATTCAAGATCCTTGAACCCCACCAGTAATTTCCATTTTGAACCATATCAATCTTTTCTTATTCGATAAGATTCAAAATACTTGCTTATCTTTCCAGTTCTAAATTAATGAATTAGTTTTTAACTTTGTCTTTTTATAGGTAAAAATTGGTGATCTTGGATTGGCTGCAATAGTTGGAAAGAATCATGCAGCACATTCAATTATAGGGACACCAGAATATATGGCACCAGAGCTGTATGAGGAGGATTACACTGAGATGGTGGACATATACTCTTTTGGAATGTGTTTGCTTGAGATGGTCACAATGGAGATACCATATAGTGAATGTGATAGCATTGCCAAGATATAAAAGAAGGTAACAACAGGAATAAAGCCGCAGGCTCTAAACGAGGTCACTAATGCAGAGTTGAAGGCATTCATTGAGAAGTGCATAGCACAACCAAGGGCACGTCCTTCAGCCACAGATCTCCTCAACGATCCTTTCTTTTCTGAACTCAACAATGACCAAGGACGAAATCCAGATCCAATTGGTTAATCACATCATTTCACACTTTCCTAGTCTACCACTTGTTTTTTGGCCCCAAGTGATGAGTATATCCATTAGTGTTGCTGTTAGTATGTTGCATGATTTCTTATTGGATATCACTATATCACTATATGCATGTTGAAAATACAGTTACAGTTATGTGAGTTGCATAGATGATTCTGTTGCCCGCTTCATCTGTCTAAAATGTTTCTTGTGAAAAAGCAGTTGTAGATTTCCCTTGAAATGTCTATTTTCTCTGTTTCATAAGAAAAACAGACAGGATCCATGATTCCTTTTTCTCATATTGCAACATAAGAAGACTTGGAACCATTTGTAGCTTTCTGTTTTTGCTATTCGCCATATGTTATGTAGCATTGGTCATATGATTATCTGTTTGAGAGAAGCCATGAAATCAGTTGGATCAAGCTATCTGACTCTTGCTAGTGTTAACATGCTTGACCTTGTTCTATAACTCTTGACCTTGAATACCCAAAAAAAAAAAAAAAAATTCAGACTCTTGCTTGCATTGAAGGCTGTAGTATTTTTGGTGTCACCTGAAGTCGACTGAGAAAAATAGGTTATTGAATTATAATACTATTGGTTAAGGTGTTATACTCGTCTTAAGATCTCATAATATATAGACTCAACCACAGATTATTTTTAAAGATTTGTTCCCCAATGGGAGGTTACCATTACTCACTTGGCTTTGGCCTTCGCAACTTTGCCTTGCACATTCTAGATGCAAGTATTTGTTCAATTTTTTAATGGGAGAAACATCAATTATGTTAATGGGAGAATATTAATGAAGGACCTTGAAAAAATTTAATTTCTGACAAAGACCTTAAACAAATCGGATAGCTGTTAAAACAATGATTTCATTTGTTAATTTATCAATGTTTACTTGTTAAAAATCATGATCAGATATTAAATTTTTAATTGATATTCTCCCCTTTTCTTGATAGGAATAAGTGCATAATAGAGATGCAGTTTTAGGTGATCTATTAAGTATTCATGCTGTTCATGTGTCACGACCTAATATCCAGCACAAACTTAACTTACAATTAATATGGATTTAAACTTCAACTAGTCCAAACTAGATATGAATTCAAACCTAAGTGGCTACTAATCTTTTCTAAGACCAATTCCTATTTATTGGTCATATATTATGTACTTGGGATGAATACATGATAGAAATGGAAGTTGAAGGTGATATAATGACTCACGATTTTATTTTTTTTATTACTTACAGATCATGGACAATCTTATTCAAGGCACGGTCTAATATTAAATGTGAGTATTTTTTCTAGTAGAAATTTAAATTTTAGTTCATTATATTGTGATGGATTGACCCTATACCTAACTTTTGTTAGTACTTGTAGGTTTTATTTTATCATGAATACATGCATTATTTTTTAATCAATCTAGTTTAAATATTGAAGCCAATAGTTAGACTAAGTTATTTTCATAAGCATATCAGGCCGAAGTGCAAATCTCTTTTACGCAAAAAAAAAAAAAAAAAGAGGAAAGAAAGAAAGAAAGAAAAACAGATATGGAATCCAAGGTAGTTCAACTGAATCCTCCTCTTAAGAGAAGAGTCAATGGGCGCTCAAATTACTGCCTAATTATAATAATAATAAATGGCTTTAGTACTCTCTCGCGTTTGCATGCAGTTTTTTCGAGAATGATTGCTTCATTTCTAAGATTAGAGAACTTTAATATTCATCCAATTCTTCTTAGAGATCTGCCACCAATACATATAATATGGAAGAAACAAAACACTGTATATTAAGAAAATAATAATAATAATAACGCTTGTGAATTGTAACGAAGGATATTTTGTCCTCTATATTTTTAAATTGTTTAGTATATTAGTGATGTAAACTAAAAAATCATGAATTTTGAGTTACGTATTTATAAATTATTAATCTTTAAAATTTAATTGTTTTTTTTAAATATTTCTAATTTGCAAAGATAAGTTTAGTCATTAATTAGTCCAATCGTATGACTTGATGCTCATTGTAATGATAAGAGCCATCATGTATATTCATGTCTGCGATGATATTTTTAAAATGATATATATATTTTTTAAAAGTGACAATTAAAAAAATTATCTCTATCTTAAATCTTGCATCTATTAAAATAAAAATGATTAAAATTATAAAAATAAACTAACATTCAACTTATATTGCGTCCAATCCGAATGAGTGATGAGAACCAAATCCAATAACTTAGGCTATTTGCAAATTTTCCAGCATATTACATTTTACTAATTTCTAAAGGATTTGTTCAACGGATATTTCTGAAATTTCTTTTTTCTAATTTTAATTCTCTCGACACATTTGTTCTAAAAGGAAATTGGTTAGGTTAATGGATTTAGATTCTCTGCAATGTTTTTTTATGCAATGACAAGTGCGATCTATTAAGAAGATAAATCTATTATAATTAATACACACACACACAACAAAAGCATTATTTTACAAATGCATTTAAACACCGCATGATATAAGGCATTAGAGATGTGAATATATAATATAGTGGCAAAAGGATATGAGTTCCTCCAACATTTGAAGACAGTCCCCTTAGTTACGATAGAATGTGGGATAAATTGTGGCGAATCAAATAGGCATTCAGAGGAGTTGTTAGATGGAGACTTTGAAAAGAAACTTCGATGAATCAATATGTTTTAATTAAACTCTGAAAATTGAAATAGTAGACTATTTTGGTAAGGTAAAAAGAAAATAATAAGCAAAAAACTTGACTAGCGTGAATTGTAGGGATCCTTATCTCTTAAACAAGTAATTAAAAATTTATTTGACCATAAAAAAAGAAAAAGAAAAAATGACAATAAGGTCCCATAATAAGGAATTTATGACAGTGATGTCTTTGTCAAACTTTTTTAAAAAATAAATTGTAAATATTTATTTAAACAATTACAAATAAAAATTTTAACCACAAACTAAGAGTTATATTTAGAATTTAAATATTTTATTTACAATTAAAATTCTTAAATTTATAATTGTATAATCAATATTTACAATTAATTTTTCAAAAAATTGTTATGACCTAACTGTAATAAATTAAATTCCTTGTTTTATGATTTTAATCTCATTCTCCAAAAAAAAAAAGTAATTAGAAATTTAAGTTCTAATTTTTTATTGTGTACAGGTATCTTTTTATTAAAAGTAATCATGTTTAAGGTATATTTAGACACTAAATAAAGATACTTTTCCTCATAGGGATTCAAATTTTAGTTCGCTACGTTATGATGAATTAACTCCTCCTGTTAGATTCAATTCTTGTAGTTAATTTTTAATTCTTTTACTAATCCAGATTGAGCTGAGCTGAGATCCTCTTGGACAAAAGTTTTATTACCAAACATTATTCCATTTTCAAGAATTCTAATTAAATTGATACAATTCCATTGAAAAGTTCATCTTTCAACTAAGAGTAGTCTTATACGTGATAAAAAAGAGCAGATGATAATATTAATAATAAAAAAAGTCATACAAATTGAAATAAAGCAGAAAATGGCCAGAAAAGAAAAGGTCAGCATGCCACTGAGTCTTTTGCTCGTATAAAGAAACAGAATTAAAACACTTCAACAATTGGAGGATATCAAATGAGATGTTTTGGCAATTCCTGTGACTCCAGTCAGAATAAAAGCACCTTGATGATCTAATTGTTGAGTAATGTCCTTAAATTTTTGGATCCAAAAAAGAATACAGGCGAGACCCAAATATTGAGGGTCCACATGATTGGAATTTCATATCAAAATTCTACACAACTCTACACCATTGAGAACAATGGAAGTTCCACAACTAGTGAGTCATCGTTTTTTAACACATGGTAACTCTGATTTTCCATTGTTCACGTGTGACATGTCTTGTAAGAAGATAATTTAATATTGGCACAATGAAATCAAGAGGTGAAAGAAGCTGAGAATTCCAATTGCAAGTGTTCTTGCAGAAATAGAAATTCCTTGATAATCTTGGATGGGGATTGATTGAAGTTACCATGTAGAGCTAGATTCTGCTTAAGCCCGATGAAGTGAAGAAGGAAAGGAAAATCCCTTGTAAAATATCAAGTTTACCATCTATAGAAGATGCTCCTAGTTATTAAAATAAAAAGTGACAGCATTAATGTATTGGGATGGGAAAGGTGGAGGGTGAAAGCCAAAGCAAAAGAGTGAAGGGCTAATTCCCCAATTTCAGCAGACGTGCCGTCTTGGGCACTGACAATGCCATATGCTCCTCCCAACAAAACTTCATTCCCACTTCATATTTTAATCTCTCTTTCCCAATATCCTTTCTTTTTCATATCTCCAAACCAAATCAAATCCACTGTGCAACGTAACTTGTCACGTGTGTGTGCAATTCCCATGCTTTTTTAACCACCAAGATTCCAGTGATCTCGTTTCAACTTGTAAACATCAGAAGTCCTAACACTGACGTGAAGCTGAAGCTTGAGATGTTAGAATGCATGAAAGGGTACCATCTTCTAAGCACGAATAATTCAACTTCTCCTCTTCCGAGAACGCCATTGATGCCTTAAAATTTGGGCTTCCAGTTTCACTCGTGTGCCTTTGACCTTGACTCTCTCTCTCTCTCTCTCTCTCTCTCTCTCTCTTCCCCATGCTTCCCATATATCACACCCCATCTCTGCCACTTCTCTTCTCTAATATCCATCTTTCTTGTTCTCATCACTGACCCTTCAGATGTGTTCCTTTCTCTAGCTGGTCACTGCCTCAATCTATATATCCATGGCTCTTGGCACCCCCTCAAGTTACTCCTTGGCTTCGAGTCCTTTCTCTTCGCCCAACCTTGGAGCCTTGCTCAAGATCAAGGTCATCACATGGTAAGATTCTCGGTCAAGTTGAATCGATTCCTTAATTGTATGCCACGGTTGCTTTCTTGTTCCTGTGCTCAAGTGTTAAGATTCAGCAATATAGGCAGTGTAGTCAGTTGTAAACAAGGTGTTTGCTGTTTTGCCACAGGAGCCAAGAGACTGGTTTGCCTGTTTCAATTCGCGTTCGGGTTGGAGATAAGATCTTTAATCTTCACAGAGTACGTCTGCTGGTGAATTTAAATTCAAATTCAGCCCCTGAATGTTTCATTTAAAAAAAAAAAGAAAGATTTTTAACCTCGGAATGTTGTGAACAACTTGCAGTTTCCACTTGCCTCAAAGAGTGGGTATTTCAAGAAAAAGTTGAACAATGAAACATCAGAGATTGAGCTGCCGGGAGATTTCCCCGGGGGAGCAGACGCCTTTGAGATGATTGCCTTGTTCATCTATGGCTCATCCTCACTGATCGACCCTTTCAATGTAGCATCCCTCCGCTGTGCAGCAGAGTTTCTTGAAATGACTGAAGAACAGTGTTCAGGAAATCTGTGTGAGAGATTTGATCTTTATTTGAACCAAGTGGTGCTTCAGAGCTGGGATGACACGTTGATTGTACTGAAAAGATGTGAGATTCTGCTTCCTTGGTCTGAAGATCTTCTCGTGGTGAGTCGCTGTATAGAGTCTCTTGCTTTTATGGCATGTATGGAGATTCTTGACCCAGAAGGAAGAAGAGACACTCCGGTTGTTACAATGGATGAGCTAGCTTCACAGTCTTGGAGCTGTGAAATGAAGGATATGGTTCCTGTGGTGAGTATTTTATTTACCTCGTTATTTAACATATTTCTTCACTTAGATTAATCACAGGCTGTTTGCTATATGTAAGATAGAGACAACAAAATAGAATAAGAAAAGTAATTTTATAGATAAAAAATGTTGCTCATATTTATGACTGGAAAAATACTATAAAATACAGAAATTATTATGTTATGATAACAAGAGTATAATAAATCTTTGTATATTTCATTTTTTTAGTCTTTTTTAAGAAAATAATGGTTTTCCCTTTATGTTACCAAATACAGAGAATGACATGCTTCTTAGAGTGTAAAAGTTGCACTTAATTGTTTGTTTCAAAAGCTTAGAGAGATATTTATGAATGACTTGAAGCTTGAGCATAATCTTTCTAAATTAAATATTGAGAATTGTTCTTGTTGAACATCACCAGGAGTTGTGGATCAAGGATCTGATAGCTCTGCCATTTGATTTCTTCAAAAGGGTCATAGGATCTTTGAGAAGACAAGGGATGAAAGAGAAGTATGTGAGTCCAATCATTGTTTTCTATGCAAATAAATGGCTTCTCTCCAGAAACACTCCAACCCAATTCTGTGAAAGTGACATTCTACAAGGTCTCATTGATCTTCTGCCTATTGGTGACAATAACCGCAGCAGCAGCAATAACAATAACAACAACAATAATGGCAATATTAATAAATCCAGAAGCAAAGTTATTATTCCTGTTGGGTTTTATTTTGCATTGCTTTCAAGATCTCTTGAACTTGGGTTGAAAAGTGAGAATATCAAAAGAAAACTGCAAGACCAGATCACAGCATTGCTGCACTTTGCACAAGAGGAGGATTTTTTTCCTCTTCTTCTTGTCCCAGATTACTCAGTGTCAACTATGGAGAACATAGTTTCAAAATATGTGGCATCAAACTCAGAAACAAACCATAGTCCAGTTGATGATGCAAGATTCTACAGAGTTGCAGAGTTGTGGGATTCATTTCTGTTTCATGTAATAGATGCAAACCCAGAAATGGAGCCCAAGAGATTCATTGAACTGATTGAAAGAATACCTGCAGCTTATAGACACGGTCATGACCAACTCTACAGGGCAATAAACAACTTTCTCAAGGTATGTTTTCACAAGCTTTTTCTGGAATGCACCATTGACATTTTAGGCTCACATGTGAATTGAGTTAGATTGTTTATGTTTTAAAATCACCCTATAGTTAGGTTGATTAGTAAAGAGTTAATAATATATATCATGATCACATATGTGATATTATGACGATAGTATAAGTATTTAGTCATTAGTCTGGTTTCTTGCTCAGTTGGACCAAGTCACTTGTTTTCTTGATTATCTGATAATAGATGTGACATAAGGATTATTTTGCAATCAATTCTGATTTTAATTTTCCTTTTATAGAAAACCAAAGCATTTGAACATAGAGATCATGCAATATCAGTCTTGTTATCACTTAAACCACTAGCTCTGATTCTGCAGACACACAAAGAAATATCCCAAGAAGACAAAGGAGCAATATGCAAGAATCTCAGCTGTCAAAGGCTATCACAAGAGACGTGCATTGAAGCTGTTCAAAATGAGCTCATGCCTCTGCGTCTGATAGTGCAAGCACTGTTTGTTCAACAGCTAAACACACACCAAACCTTCAAAGAATGCTCAGATTCCTTCAGGTATGCAAATTATGGAGCAGAATTTTTATCAGGAAGCCTGTCCAGCTCTAGATGCCCTTACTCCAGAAGCCACAATCCAGCCGAAAGCCCATACACCGCCGCTGATGGCCCTGGTATGGGTAGTAGCAGCGGTCCATTGGGCTTGCTGCTTCAAAAGGACTTGATGATGATGCAGAAGATCAAGTTTTCCACCACAGAGTATGAGGCCACAAGCTTCAGAATCCAGAACCTTGAACAAGAACTCATGGGCCTGAAAAGAAGCCTGCAGTTGCAGAACACAGAGTTGAGCAAGAGTCAGAAGAAGATGGTGAAACCTTATGGGTTGGAAGGAAGATCGATGAGCAAGAAGAGGAATAGTGTGGGACAAGGCAGTAGTTGCATTAGTTCTGTGAATTTTGCTTCCCAGAGAAAATATGCGAGTAGGATATTGAAGTTGTTTCGTCGCTTAACATGGTTTGCAAGTAGGAAATCTAAGAGAAAGCCGGCAGCTTCTCCTCATTGGTCCAACTCAATGTAGAATATGCAACTTCACTAGTGAGATGTATCCATATTCATAACAAATTGAAAGAAAAATATGTATGTATGGCCCTGTTCTCGCTTCATCAATCTACAAATTTTGCCACAAGCTGAAAAAAAACTTAATTATAAAAAATCTAGGTTTAAAGCATATAGTTTGTTATATTTTTGTTTGTAAATTTCTGATTAAATTATAATGCATGAAAACATTTTTTTCCTTTATAAAATTCACTCATATGAAACGTGGCTGTAAAATTGAGCTTATTATTCAAGTAGATTTTATTGAAAAATATTTACCATTATTTTGATCACAAAATTGGTACCATGAAATGCGAAAAAGCTCCCAAAAGAAATAAAAAAAAAAATTAGGGAGTTAGGTTTTAGAAAGCTCATACTCGGTGGTTTTAGAAAAATCCCACAATGTTCCCCTAGTTCGTTAGAAGTAATTGGAACCTTAAGTCAATAATTATTTTAGTAATCTCAAAAAAAGGCTATATACAAATTCACTAAACTTTAAAGCTTTTTGTCACATCTTGTGTTTAGAATGGGCAGAACCTATAAGGTTAAGGTGTTTTCAAAAACAGAATTCTAAAAAAATCCAACATATTCAAAAAGAATTTAATATGTTTTGAAATATTCTAAAAACATCTGAAATAATTTAAAAATATTTAGAATAATCTAGAAGTATTTAAAAGGTTTTAAAAACTTATAAACAAGTGTAAAAATGTTTAAAATATTTTGAAATATTCTATGATGTTCTAAAACGGTCTAAATATATATTAAAGTTAGTTAGTTTCTAAAAATTCTTTATAAATATCTAGATATTAATTATAGATATTTTTATAGAATATTTTTAAAAATAAATGTATATTATAGGATTGACTTGATTTTCATCTTCCATCATGAAAGTGGGAAAGTTTCAAAACATAGAAAAAGTTTGTAAATACCCTATACATTCCTCATTTGTAACCAATGAGTATCAAACAAAGTAATAAAGCTTTTAAGTTCTCCTATTCAAGCTTTCCAATCTCTCGTGTTCCAAGCATTCCAGCTTTTTTTGCCTATATTATGAGGGTTCACATGATTTAGCTAAGATTAAGAGAATTATTAAGCTAAAGCTCGCATGATTTGAGGAAGAGGAGTTTAAGGTTGAGACACTTCGCCCAGCACGAATTGCATGCATTCATCAATGTGGTAGTATGGGTATTTATGGGCTAGGACACACTAACCCAAACCACCATCTAATCAATACCCTTGACAATAACAAGCCTAAACCAAGTTGGGTTAGATTTTGGTCCAATGTATATAATCTTAATAAAAAAACTAAAAAAAAGTCAAAAAGAAAATAAAAATAATTTTCGTAAGAATGTAATCAAATCCATCCAAAATATAGTTTTATAAAATAATTTATAAATGTAAATAATATTTTAAAAGTATGAATATTTAATACTTATTCATTACTTTTACATAATAATAAATAAAGAAATTAATTTAAAAATAAATGCAATGAAATATTAAATTTTAAATTTCAAAGATAGTCATAAAAATAATTTATTACCAAAAAATTAAAAAAAAAGCGATAAATATAAAAAAAAAAAAAAGAGAAGGAAAATTGCATGCATGACTCGTACGTGTATATGGCCCGGCAGAGTCCATGCTTCCCTGGACCCGGCCCAGTGTTGGTCAATATTCCGGACAGGATGGTGCCTACCAGATTATTAGCTCAATAAATTTCGTTTCAAAGGGGGGAAAAATGATTTCCTAGCTTTAAACTCCCTTTTTTTTTTTTGGTTTTTGTTTTAGCAAAATGGCTTTAAACTCTTTAAATTCTTAATTTTGTGCACAAAATTTCTCATAATTGATTGCTACAAGCATCCTGACTCTTAATTTTAATTTATAAAATATGTTTTAACCATTTTTTTCTTGTTTTTTCCAACATTTTTTCTCGTTACAGTCATAAAACTACCTTAATAATTTCCCATATTAATCAGTAATTATGTACATACTTTTGTATCATGGAACTTTCAATATACAAAATTAAGACTATTATCACTAAGAAAAAAACCATAAATTAATACCTTTACAATTTGAATAATCAATTCAAGTTGATTTTAACCTAATACTGTTTTGCAATCACAAACACTATTATTATAATTGAATTTGAATTCTCCATAGGTATATTTAAAATCATGGTGAAGAGACTCCCATGGATTCCAAGCAATCGCAAGGACTTTGTCCCCTCAGAAAGACTCCCATAAATTTCACAATGAATCACCTTCCCACTACAATCATCAAGGGCAAAGACCTTATACTACAAGAGACTGGACAAACATATTCAATTCTAATAAATGATTGGCTTGCTTGCAACGATCCACTTTTAATGTGCAAAATTTTTATAAGTACTGACATAACCTGATTATTGTCCTTCGCATGATTCTTCATGGCCCTGTACTAAAACAAAAAACAAAAAACAAAAAAGAGAAAGAAGAAAAGAAAAGGACTCCCATGAAGAATTGCAAATACAGGTCTATGGTTTCAACAACCACTGAATGAACAATTGGTTATGATGACAGCATCATAGTCAAGCACGACCTGAGGTCCAAGGTTTCAACAAAGTTCACACTTATTTCAAGAAGAATTCATTAAATGTATGTTTAAGAGGGTTAACTTTAAGATCAAGGAGGTAAAAGCTACTCTAAAGCATCAATGCTATAACCCCAGGAATAAAAAAGGGCCAAAGTCATCCATCCTCAAATAGTATCCACAAAATCTCACAATCCAGAACAAAATACATCTAAAATCAAAGGAAAATTATTTTTGCACTTTAATCTGTAACCATAAATGGATCCACATCACCAAGATCAGCAACCAGAGGCTCTAAGCTTGCTTCATCTTCATCTTCAGGAGCAAAATAAGTTGGGAAAGGAAGGAGTGATTCATCAGGTTTTTTATAGACCGCGTCTTTTATGAAAACAAAGTTCCCTTCAGCTCCTGGTACCTGTTAAGAAAATGCTACAAATCAAACTCTGATATTGAGATCAGACATGAATTTCAACTTCAAGCTTTCCAGTGACCTCATCGCAGAGAATAATTAATTCGTTTTAGCACTCGTAAGATTTAAAAAAAGGGAATAAGATAAAAAAAGCTTAGTGACAAAAATTAGTTGCTTTTGACTTAAACTTTACAAGAGGAAACATTTAAGGAATAAGAATAAGCAGAAGACAATTCGTAGTTGTAGTATAAGCTGTGGTACAAACATCATCTCATTATTTTGAGGTCAGCTACATGGATCACATTACATCATTGTGTTCTATTAACAACCACTCTTTGGATGAAATATGGATCATAAAGTCCACATTATTTCTAATTTCTCCCTAAACTTCTCAACTGCATTACTCCAACTGACAATTAGGTGGGGCATTCTTTTACTAAAATAAGGATCAATGACAACTGTTCTCAAACAATAGTCCTTTCCTTTCAATTACAACTTCACTATTTACATCTGAAGGAAAAAAACACAAAATTTATACATAAACAATAAAAATACCTGGCCTTGAACCCATATCAAATTCCTTGAAGGGTCTATTTTGTAGACCCATACATTTTTAACTGTTCTCTGCTTTCCACCCATTCGCCCAGCCATCTTCTTACCTTTAAACACCTGGGCAATAACAGTGGGGAGATTACTAAATCAAAAGGATAAACGCAGACAAATATAAAATGGTTTAAAGAACCAAAATGAGGGATATCTCGATCCTGCATGCAAAATATAGTAAATATTGTATTAAGAAAGACATAACATTCAAAGGAGTCCCACTCACCTTTCCAGGAGCATCCCTTTGACCTGTGGAACCACCACTTCGATGTGATAATGATGCACCGTGAGATGCTGGCATGCCCTTAAAATTATGCCTTTTCATGACACCCTGAAAAAGTGGACATAATGAACGTTTGTTGTTCAAACAACTGAAAATTTTATGCCACAAATTAAGTAATATCATTTTGCAAAGTCAAGTGATTTACACATGTAAGTATTGAACATGAAACAGGGGGGAAAACATCACAGGCATACACAAATGAATCTCACAAATAAGCAAGTGCATTTTGATCGCATTAAAAAAAAAAAAAAGACATACAATAAAGAGAAATGAGAAGATAAAAAGAATGGCTTTCTAGAAAGCATGAAATGAAACGCTGCAAGCGTAATGCTTGTAAAAATCCAAATAGAATAAATCTGTCCGCAAACCATTAACAATTTTCCAAAAAACTCTGGAAATCACTGGAATCAAAACAGTTGAACATAGATAATGTTATCTAAAGTTGTATAACTAATTATCTATCAGTTGAGTAGCTTGAGTTTATCAACACATAATTATTATAACAACAACAATAAGCCTTATCCTACTAGGTGAGACCCACTACATATATTATACGACACCATTGCGCTTTATCATTTACTAAACTTTTAAGAATGTTGTTAACTAAAAAGTTTCAATCAACAACTTCCATAAATACTCTCTTTAACCTTCCTCTATCCCTTTTAACAATGCTCAAAATTATTCATTTCTCTCTCCTCACTAATGCCTCCTACAATCTTCTTTGACTTTTTGTACATGTCCAAACTATCTTAAATAATTTTTTACTATTTTTTCCTCAATAGATGCTACACCCAATTTTTGTTATACGTGCTCATTTCAAATTTTATCTTTACATATATGCCTGCACATTCATCTCAACATTCTCATCCCTTCTACTCCAACTTTATGTTATTGTTGTCCCGTTAAAGCTCAGTATTCATTACCATGTAACATAAATGGTCTTCTAACAGTTTGATAAAACTTTCCTTTACATTTATGAGGTATCTTACGATCGCAAATGACTCATTTAGCTTTTCTCTAATTAAACCATCCAACTTGTATCCTTTGTGCAAGATTCTCATCAACTTTCCCATCATGTTGAATAATATCTCCCAAATATCTAAACTACCCAGCTTGCTGTCCTCTAAACACATGATTATTATAACATCAAAACTTTAAGCAGATATTAATTTAGTTGTTACACCTAACTACTCCTAAACTACCACATTTCCTAACCCACTAAAACAATAACTATGACAGAGAATAACACAGTCATGGCATGGCTTGAACTTCAAAGCCTTATTTTCCTTCTTCCAGTAAAATAAAATCATTCAATTTCGTTCCACTGAGAATATTGTTAATAATTAATAATTACCTTCTACTGTAACAAAACTATAGTGAAAAAACTATGCATCTCTCAACCACCATAAGGAATAAGATACGTACCCACTCACTGACATGAGTAAGTGCATGCAGCATACACAGACCATTTTTTAACTAAAAAAAATAATATTACGAGCAAAATCTCACATGAAGAAAATTGAAAACCCACCTGAAAACCTTTACCTCTTGTGATTCCTGTTACATCAACAAATTGACCAGGAACAAAATGGCGGACACCAATTGGTGTACCCACAGGAAGAAGTGCATCCTCTGTCACTGGAAACTCCCTAAGTTTCCTTTTCATTGGAACTCCCTGAGCTCTAAAATGACCAACTTCAGGCTTACTCAAATGCTTTTCTTTCTTCTGTCCACAACCAATCTAACTAGAAACACAGCATTAAATAGGTCTATAATTAGATACACACAATTAACAGTGCTAAATAAGTGTTGTTTCTGAAGCCATGAAATTCGTAATGAAGCAACTAAATGAAAGTAGCATTTGATTAAGCCACCGGATAAACATCCATCTTTTTGTACAACAGCTTGGAAAAAATAGGCTCTTTTTAAACCAGTTCAATAACTATACCACGGATTACAAGTTGTAACTGGCAACGAGAACGAACCTGGAGAGCAAAAATATCTTCTTTCTCCGGGGTCTTGACCTGTGTCACAACATTGTCATCGACCCAGAGTATGCTGATGGGAACTCTCGCGCCCCATTTATTCCAAAGAGCAGTCATTCCACACTTGACAGCGATAACCCCAGTTCGTTTAGAACCCGGGGTCATCACCTTTGGCTTTGCTTCAATAATCCGTGCCTCTCTCGCGCTCGAATCAACCAATAACTCCGAGCAGAAGCCCCTCAAAAACCGGTGCGGCAATGATGTTGGCGCCCCTGCTGCCGTTGATGTTACAGTCGGATTGACGGTGAAAATTCGCAGGCGAGAAATGAGGCCCCTCGAGAAGGCTATCATGATGGAAATGCAGATTATGATGAAGCAGGTAAGCAGGATAAGAATTGCTTCCAATCTTCCCTAGCGATTAACAAATGAGGTGGCGATGGCATGGCTTCAGAACTGCTTCCATGAATGAAGTGTTTGATTTGGGAAAGAGGCTGGGGAGGAAAGCCAAAATGGATCTGAGCCCGAAGGATTTTAGGGGTAGGGTTTTAGTATGCGAGTGCGACTTGGAGTTGTTAAAATAAAAATGATAATAAAATTTATTTAAATTATATAAATAATTTTTTACTTTTTTAAAATGTTATAATTTTTATTAATTTTGTAAAATTTTTTTTATAAATAATTAAATTATTTTTAATTTAAATATTAATTGATATTTATAAATTTTGTTTTAAAATTCATAATTTTTTTTAAAATAGTAAGAATTCAATAGTAATTCATAAATTTACATTTAAAATTTTGATATTTATTAAATATTATAAATATTAATTAACATTCACAAATTTTATTTTAAAATTCATAATTTTTTTTTAAATTGTAAGTATTTAACATCAATTTAAATATTTATTGTCATTCACAAGTTTTATTTTAAAATTATAATTTTTTTTAAAATTATAAAAATTTACCAACATTTTGCAAGTTTACATTTAAAATTTTAATATTTTTTAAATATTATAAATATCAATTTTTATTTATAAATTTTATTTTAAAATTTATAATTTTTTTTAAAATTACAAGAATTTAACAACAATTCATAAATTTAAATTAAAAATAATTTAATCATTTATATTAATTTTTTAATTAAAAAAAGTTCTAAAAACTTTAAAAAAATTATGACATTTTAAAAGATTAAAATATCATTTATATAATTCAAAGAGATTTTACTATCATTTTTTCATTCTTAAATTATATTTAAATGTTACATTACAAAATTCTACCTCATATATGCTGTGAGCTAACATATTTTATACATTTCACAAATTTTTACATTAGTCATACATAATAAAAAAATTCTATATCAATGTATATAACAATAAAATAATACCACCACTCGTCTATTTTATTAAAATTATAGAGATTTCTTTTATATTTTTACAAGGATTTTAAACTCTACATTTTAATCCAATTTTTTAGTAAATCACTTAATTCAATTTTTAACATTGTTAAAATTAACTAGTGCCTGTCCCGTGGAATGTAAGGGCGATATGTCGTTTAATCTGACTAGTTTATATAGTTACCATCTTGTAGGATAAGCTATATTGTGGAGTATCATTGTTGTTACGTACTAAATATTTGAATTCAATACTGTTGATATATTATTTAATTTTTAACTAATCATGTGATCTTTAGTTGGACTACATTAATTTGTGATCAATTGAATGAATAATGAGTATAAATGACATAATTGTAACTAATTATAATGGAAAAGTACAAATCATGAGCAAAAGTTTGAGCAAATAATCAGTGAAAGATATAACAAAAAAATTAGACCCATTTTCCATGTTTTCAAATATCTCTTGAAATACAATATTAGTCTCTTGTGTGTAGACTTACCAAACTAATTACATATAAGGAGAAACTTATAATAGTCAATGTCTTACTTCATTAGTAAAGTATTAAGTGAATTATTTAATGTCTTTGGACCATAATAATTTAGAGAAATGTTAGAAGAGTACAAAAACTAATAAAAAAAATGCATGTTCTTTTGTAATTTAATGTTTTGAAAAATACAACTTCCTCTCCATGTCAACAGAAATAATCCATACTTAGTAAATAAAGCACTTATACTTTTTTTTCAGAATAATTTTTTTTTATAAATTTAAAGCATTCATTAATTTTATTTAATAATAAAATTCATATTATATTTTTAGTTAGTAGTTAATCATATTCAATAAAATTATAATTGTTTATTATTATAAAACTGATATAATTTATCATGGATAAGTGATTAAAAAAGGTTTATGGGATGTTCTTTTATCATGAAAATTAGCATAATAACTTTAAAAAAAGTAGTGGTGTTGGTGATAGTGATAGTAGTAGTGGTAGTACAGCAACAATAGCAACAGCAGGAGTAGTGGTGGTAGTAGTCGTAATAATGGTAGTCGAATAGTGGTAGTAGTAATAGTTGTGATAGTAGTGGTAGTGGTGGTAATAGTAGTCGTAGTAGTGGTGGTGGTGGTGGTGGTAATCATGGTCATACTAGCGGTGATGGTAGTGGTGGTGGTAGTGGTGATAGTAGCAGTAATAGTAGGTGATAGTGGTGGTGGTAGTTGTGATAATCATAAAATGAAATTGGGAAAATAAACATATAAGAAAGTGATGTGGTTACATATGAGATAAGTTTATAACTTGTACCATGCAGCTTTCTCATAACGGGCCGATCCAACAACTCGAACCATTTTAATTGCCTACAATTTTGATTTATATCTCTATAATTAATTAAAGTCATACTAGTCTTATTTCATCTATGGTCCCTCATAGATGACTGACTAGGGACATTTAGGACGATCAACATAGTTCATTCAATAATACAGTTATCATAGTGAATATGCAATTAGTATAATAACAAAAGAGAAATTTTATAAATAACAATGTTTATAATACAGTAATTGATTAACATACATTAGTATGAGTTAGATAGACCTTTGTTACTGAGTAGTTGTATTCATCTCACTATCTTTAATATTATAGGAACTAGCTCAAAGGAACAAGATAGAGATAAACAACTTGAGGCATAGGATTACTATCCTATTTGTAGGCTCCTCCTTTTCTTTTTGAGTATTAATGTGTATATTTTTGCATGAAATTGCTAACTAGGGATGATTCATGTTGTAACTTACTTGCACTAAGTATTTTGTTAAACAATAGAGTATATTTTAGGCCCTAGGGTGTATATGTAATGATTGTGAGACTTATAGTAGGGTCAAAATATTAGTGTAAGTAGAATGATGTATTGCACTTGAATTATGATGATTAATTGATGAAATTTGTGATTGGAGCTGCCCCTATTATTTTTTGTAATTAAGGAGTTGAGCATTGAAAATATGTTTTATGAGTTATTTTTGTGATGTGGTGTATTACATAGGTTTGTGTTAGTCTTTTGAGTATGGTTTAGGGCACAAATTTGGCTTTTAGCACTTGCCATGTGATTTGGGCACCTAAATTGTGTGTCAAGATTGTAAATGAGTAAGTTTTGAAATGGGTGTCTGAATTTTGATTGAAAAATGCTATGATTGTGAAATCAGTGTCATTAGCTAGAACTAGGAGAAAGTTCTTTGTAGACATGTAAATTATCTCATTCGGATGTCGGATGAAGAAATGTGGTGTGTCAGAAGTTTGCCCCTAGTTATGTCAAATGATAGCAGCAATGCTGTCAAATATGTGCAATTCACCTCAATGCATGGTTCCTGATGAAAAATTCCTACACATTCTAGACTTTACTATTCTCAATTACACAATCATCAAACAATCACAATAACATATTAGAGTAATAGCTCTCAATTCATTTTCAAAATGCGGGATCATGACTTCATTAGAAGTATGTTTAAATAAGAAGGCTAATGGAAGCATAAACATAATTCTATGACTCAAAGAAGCACAACATCTTTTCCCTAAAAAAGTGCCATGCGCTATGGCTCACACCATCATGTACTGCAGCATGTGATATAGAGCCATGACTCTGTTCTTCTTCGTGCCATGTATTGCAATGTGGCACACTGTAACACTTACTTTGAGTGTTACCAAAAACACACCACAACCAATAAACTAAATATGGTTAATGAGTTGATCCTAAAACCAACTTAGGAAACAAATCCTTTAAATCAGTAAACAATTTACATAATAGCAAAAAATACATATAAAACCTCTTAAAAAAGTATAAAGGATTAATATGTAGCGCATGGAAGAAAATAAGGCAAATAGGGGTAGTTAATTGATGTCATGACAGCATTAATTTTGCTGTCATGACAGCCCTCCCGGGCAAATTTTCGGGAGGTACTGATTTACCATCTAACCTCCAATTGAAGTGATTTTAAAGCTCATATGTCACTTTTAATGCGTAATAGTAGTGTTTCAAATTTTACAAAGATCCAACGAACGAATTAAAATTTGGACACGTTAAAAGTTTGGCATTTTTGCTATCATGAAAGCACATTTAGACCAACTTTTAGAGTACACCATTTCATCATTCGACCCCTGATCAGAGTGATTCCAGAGCCTACACTTCACATTCCAAGAGTACTATAAGTCTACAACATTTCAAAAAGATTCAAAGATCGAATTAAAATTCATGCACATTCCAACTTCAGCAATTGTTGTTGTCATGACAGCATTATATTGTTGTCATGACAGCATTTTCAGACAAATTTTCGGAGCACGCTGTTTCCTCATTCGACGTCCGATCAAGGTGATTCCAAAGCCCACATAAATATTATAAAATTTTTTACTTGTGACCCAAATTTCAGGAAAATCTAATGGTCAAATTGAAATTTGGACACCTGGATGCAAAAGTGAAACTTTTTGGTAAAAACCATTTTCAAATTTGTCTAAATCTCATTCTAAGGGTCACAAACTTGTGGGAACACTTTGGACATGTCAAATAGGACTAAGAGTATCTAATAGAACATTCAAATGATGAAAAACTCCCATACATCAAAATTTGACCACTCGGGTGCTATTTTTGAAAATGGACCCTAAACCCCAAAAATGCACAAATCATACGAGATGTATTTATATAAATGCACATGTTAAACATTTTCACTTGGCTTAGAACTCCTTGTGGGGCCCATGCACCCACTCTTTCTATTCAAGGTGCATGTTTGCCTTTAGCATATAATTTGCAATACAACCACTTTGCAATTGCGGGTAAAATCACACATACTTTGTAGTGGAAACTTAGTCTATCAAATTAATCATCAAAACCACACACTATAACTAAGTTTCCTAAACACAAGTTTACAAGCAGTAAAAATTCATACACAAGCACACAATTCACACATTCACATATCTAAATAGTCACATCCTGTTGGCACCCTAATCCTAAATACATTACACTGTGCTTGCTCAAAAGAAAGAGGTTGCAGATCTTTACAATCCATAAGCAAACCCCTAACTTGGCTCTTTTTCCCATCCACTACTAGATCCTTTGCTTAGACACATAAATATTGTAAAAAAAGGGGTGAGACAACCACAGTCTCAATAACAGAGAAATTGATATTCCTT